GCACAGTAGCATAAGTTCAGTGCAACTCAATAGTGTGAATGGGAACTCATTTTAGGGCCATTATTCATGGTTAATTCTAAATTGATTGGCTATAAAGGTTTTTAAAGCATTGTCACTGACAACCACAGGTAACGTAGATTTTTGACGTTTCACAGATGCACGCATTTTTAGGCTTGACATATTTGCTATTTCTTTACTCAACACAGTTTAACAATTCTATTGTGTTTGTATGCTCTAAAATTCATTTGAGTGCATGGTTATTTAAAATATAGATGTGATGAACAGTTGCACAAATTCACTTAAAAAAAATATGCACTATTTTGGGGGTTTGAAGTACATTTTCATGCAAAATATGCACATTATAGCGTGTGTAAAAGATTTTAAATATTGGCCTGGCAGCTAAAGGGAGCTTCAGAGGGCTGCAGTGTTTAAAGTGTATGTAGACCCTAACAATGAACTTCTCTTATTTGCTACCTTTTGGTCTGTTAAAGGAGAACTATGAGTTGAGTGCTTTTCACGCACCTCATAGTTCTAGCCGACCTGTGACAATGAGACTGTCACAGGTCGGCTCAGTAGATCGGGAAGTGAGTGAACACATACCGGCGTTCGCTCACTTCTCGATCCTGTCACGGCTCTCTGCCGTGACAGGGGAGGGACTGGATTCCCCCCTCCCCGCTCTGATCCTCCAGCGATGACTGGCGGAACGGACGGGGGAGGGGGGCGGGTACAGTTGGCTCTGTCTCTAGATAGGCAGAGCCAGCTGTCACTCACACAGCTGGGCGGATCCAGACATAATTGTCGGGATCCGCTTCAGCTCTGGCGTCAGTATACCGCAAGCTGTAGCTCACGCTATACTGAGCTTAGGGTTACGGGAGTACGCTAGTTTGTGTCCTCCCGTTACCCTAAGGAGAACTATGGGGAAAAGCCCTAACCCCATAGTTCTCCTTTAAATATACATTTGAAGGTGTGATATCTGTTAAAGTCTTATCACCAAGGGTCAACCTCCCTGATCACCAACCCCCCCTTCCCCCTTATCTGTTAATCATGCCTGAAATCTAGTTAGCTAGTAAGTTCCTGCGCACTCTGCAGTGTTATCAGCCCTGCCCAGTTTACTTCTGCAAATCACAGAACACCTTCATGCTATGGAGATGAGATGTTCTGTAGTCCCAACTCACTTCCTGTAGTAGGGTGACAATGCTGCTCTTCCATAAATATAGTACAGTAAGGAAGCGTGCTACTGGCAGCATCACCAGGTCAAAATAAAAGCCTGGAAAAGAAAAATGATTGCAGCCACCTCATCAGACTGGTACACTGTGTAGTATATTAACTGTAATGACTGCATGTTTATTGGTTTTAGATTCACATCCACTTCAGCCTAATTAGTAGTGAAACATTCTAAGATGTGTTTGATGCAATTAAAAATGATTCATTCTATTCAGACATTGCTGTAGTACACCAGTGCACCCCACTCCTTTTTGTCAATCATCAGATGTGTCCAGAGCCGCTTGGATGTGCGGTGAATTGCGTACAGCCGTGGCAACTGTCAGCCAGTCTCTGATTTGTACAGACTGCTGGCTGTACTAGTGTGAACGGGCCCTCAAAAACACTGACAGACACACACAACCACAGACACAATCTCACACACTCAGACATTCTCGCATACACACTTCAAAAATGTGTTTTATTTTTAAGGTCCACCCAGTCTCCCTACCTTACGAGAACTGGAGTGGATCCTCAGCCTGGGGTCCAGTGTGGGCTGCTGTGCTGTGATGGAGCTCCATCCATATGTGTATTGCTTGTTCAGCTCTCTTGCGTGCCCTGTCTACTGGACATGTGAGGGAGCTGTAAGCAATGCATTTAAAGATGGAGCTCCCTCGCGGCCCCTCCCACCTCAAGCTGACACTCTGCGCCGGGCAGCATATTTTAAATGGCTGTTTGAAGCAAGAACTGACAGTGCTGTGCTAGAGGGAGGCAGAGGAGCCTCTTACCTAGAAAGGTCACCTTTGGGTCACGGCCCACCAGTTGAGAACCAAGGCTGTAAACCACTGTAGTAGCCACTACACTTCACAACGATCTTGGTCCTGGTTCTGTGCTAAAAGTCTTCCCCTCTGATGTAAGAACACAATCCACACATTGGCCAATCGGTAAATATCTAGCTTTTATACAAATAAATACTAGGCCAGGGGTAGGCAACCTCGGCACTTTAGCTGTGGTGTAACTATAAATCCCATGAGGCATTGCAAAACTCTAACAACTACAGACATAACTCCTGAAGGCAGAGTCATGATGGGATTTGTAGTTCCACCACAGCCAGAGTGCTGAGATTCCCTACTCCTGTATTAGGCATTTGTTTTTAAATCAGGGGTGGACAAACTCCACCCCTCCAGCTTTGGTAAAACAACAAAATCATATCATGCCTCTGTCTCAGGGAGTCAGGCCCGTGGCTGTGAGAATCTTGCAATGCCTCATGGGATTTGTAGTTCCACAACAGCTAGCGGGCCGGAGTTTGCCCACCCCTGCTTTAAATGAATGAGGCGTGATGATATCACGTCACTGCTCCTCGTCTAATCGGAGAACACCTACAGGGTTATTCAGAGTTTGGAGAGGCCAGGAGAAGTGAACAATCTAGGACAACATAGCTGATTTGGAAACATTCTCCAATTCAGCTCACTTTCCAGTTCAGCTATGTTGTCCTAGATTGGTCACAAAATGGCCGCTGTGCCGACTGAGTGACCCACTGTGTTTTAATACCAGAGGTGAAGTGGCTCAGCACAGCAGCTGTAAAGGACCCGAAACATCACTGTGAAGCACTGTAGTGGCTGCGGGTACTACACAGTTTACAGGACCCTGTGGCTTTGTCAGTGATAATTCATGTAGACTTGCATTGTGCCAAGCTGGACCAATGTAAGTATATATAAATCATTATAGCTGGAATTCAGCTTTAAAGTAAACCAGCACTGAGAGAAATACTGGGGCTGCCATTGCTTAAAGATTTTATTAACCCTTGCAGTGGGGCTACCCCATGCACTGCAAGGGTTAACTGCTGATTTTCACCTGATCCTCAGAGCGTGCCAGCCCTTAGACCGCCCCCCTCGAGCGTCTCTCCCGCTCTGCTACATCGGTCTAAGGTTTCTTGAGTCATCACGTCCAATAGTGTGTATAGGACGCTGAAGGTAATACCATCACTGCAGAGGAGGAGATGGGCTGGAGGAAGCGCTGCAATCGCTGAGTATCGGGTGAGTATTACTTTTTTTTTAACCTAGGCAAAAACGAGCAGTTAACCCTTGCAGTGCAGCGGTAGCCCCACTGCAAGGGCTAATAAAATGTGTGCTTTTATGCTTAAACTACAGTAGTGTCTGACAAGTATGAGGCCAATGAAGACCAAACTCCTGATCTGCTTACTTGCTCTTGGGACCATGGCAACCAATCAGCTTCCATCTTGTTCTGTTAAGATTTGCAAATAAAAAAGATACACTGATTTGTTGCCATGCACAGCTGCTCCAGATTTTGTCTACTCCAGCTTTGATACGTTCCCCTCTCTGTGTATTGTGGTGTGCTGTGTTGGGAAAATTGTGCAGATGCATTCTTTAAAATGTTTGCAGTCCATTCAAAATGACTGACTGCTTTCATTCAATGCACATTAATGTGTGTGTGATAATGCACCACAACAATGTGAATATGCCCTATTGTTGTCATTGTCCTAGCTGATTAGATCATAAAGAACTCCACGCAAATGTTTATTAATCCTTGCAGTGGGGCTACCCCTGCACTGTAAGGGTTAACTGCTCGTGTTTTGTATAGATTCAGAAATAAAAAAAGTTTTTCCTCCCTAGACAAAAACGAGCACTTAAAGGAGAACTATGGGGTAAGTGTTTTTCCCCATAGTTCTCCTAAGGGTAATGGGAGGACACAAACTAGCGGCCTCCCGTCACCAAAAGCTCAGTATATTGCGAGCTACAGCTCGCGGTATACTGAGACGCCAGGATGGATCCCGACATTACTGTCTGGATCCACCCAGCTGCGTGAGTGACAGCTGGCTCTGCCTATCTAGAGGTAGAGCCAGCTGTACCCGCCCCCTCCCCCGTCCGTTCCGCCAGTTAGCGCTGGAGGATTGGACAGGGGAGGGGGGGGGATCCCTGCAGGGAGCCGTGAGTGACAGTCATGGCTCTCTGCAGGGGCAGGATCTAGAAGTGAGCGAGCGACGGTATGTGTTCGCTCACTTCTCGATCTATTGAGCCAACGTGTGACAGTTTCATTGTTACAAGTTGGCTAGAACTATGAGGCTGAGTGATTTTCACTCGTCTCATAGTTCTCCTTTAACCCTTGCAGTGCGGGGGTAGCCCCATTGCAATGGTTAATAAAAACGTTTCCTGGAGTTCTTCTTTAAAATATATTAGGATCCATTCACTTGTATGCATGCATTTTTGCATTTTCATTCATTTTCAGTGAACCCTCATTGCATGTCCACATCCACTAGCCATAAAACGTATCTATCTCTCTTTTTTTTTTTTTTAGTTTACCACAGGACAACTAACTGCAGCTAGGGAAAAAAGTGTTCTCCAGGGCCGGTGTGTTTGTTTACTGCATGTATGCACATTGGGAATTCATTGTTCATTGGAAACAAATGACAATACATCAGAACGTGTATACACATCGGGTGACAACACAGGAGTACAATTAGGGAAACAATTGGGAGAGGGTTGTCTCAACATATCAGGAAGTGCCTGAACATGGGCCTTCATGGCGGAATTTCCTGGTATTTTAATGAAACAACATATTTAAAACATTGAAAACAACTATTGTAATACAAATAACATGTTAATGGTTAGATTAGATTGTAGTGTTTTCAGTTTATATTTAGCTTATTGAAGTAATTTTTCTTTACAGATTTGTTTTCTATCAAATAATGTTGTTCCTGTATTATAACTTCTGAAAAATGGTGTAATTCTAAATCTAAAACAATCTAAACCTCCTTAACGTGTTTACTGTTGTCTGAGCAGGTCCAGCATGTCTGGCCTACACCTAGTGAAGAAGGGGCGAGAGCACAAGAAGCTGGATCTCCATAGAGACTTCACTGTCGCTTCCCCAGCTGAGTTTGTGACCCGGTTTGGTGGTAACCGCATCATTGAAAAGGTGGGCACGGTTTTATTGTGCTTTTAGAAAAATAATAAAATAATTAACCTCGTCCAGCGTTTGGGTAATGTACATTATTAACAGAAATGAAAGTGGAACTCCGGCTATGCAGCAAAAACACAACTGTAATTTGTATATTTCAACTATTTAAAGGAGAACTATGGGGTTAGAGCTTTTCCCCATAGTTCTCCTTAGGGTAACGGGAGGACACAAACTAGCGTCCTCCCGTTGCCCTAAGTTCTGTATACCACGAGCTACAGCTCGCGGTATACTGAGACGCCGGAGCGGATCCCGACATCGATGTCGAGATCCGCCCAGCTGCGTGAGTGACAGCTGGCTCTGCCTATCTAGAGGCAGAGCCAGCTGTATCCGCCCCCTCCCCCGTCTGTTCCGCCAGTCATTGCTGGCGGTTCGGAGCGGGGGGAATCCAGCCCCTCCCCTGTCACGGCACAGAGCCGTGACAGGATCGAGAGGTGAGCGAACACCGGTACATGTTCGCTCACCTCCCGATCTACTGAGCCGACCTGTGACAGTCTCATTGTCACAGGTCGGCTAGAACTATGAGGTGAGTGGAAATCACTCACCTCATAGTTCTCCTTTTAAGATGCCGGAATATTTTACATTCTTTTTAGTCACTCCAGCAATTTTGACATCACTGCCACTACATTTTAAGTAAGGGACAAACTAGGGATGCACCGACACCGATACCGATAGTATCGTTATCGGTGCTGATGCGGAGTATTTGGGTGAGTACTTGTACTCACCCAAATGCTCAAATGCCTAGCCCGATACTTCAGCTTCCGGTAATAGGAAGCCAAGCAACAAGTCATTACAAGCTACCCAGCTTCCTGATTGGCCAGAAAGCCGGCCACCTGGTGACGAGGTAGCATGGAGACGGCTTCCCTGCTGATCGGGAAGCCAGGTGGTGAGTCATTACACGCCGCCTGGCTTCCTTAATGGGACTTTCGGTATCGGTATTCGGTATCAGCGAGTACCGAAAAAAAAATATCGGTACTTGTACTCAATACCGAAAAACCGGTATCGGTGCATCCCTAAGGGACACCATTGCCACAACATACAGCAATCATCCATAACATTATGACCACCCTCCTAATATTGAATAGGTCCCCCTTTTCCTGGCCCATTGAAGCATGGACTCCACTAGACTTCTGAAGGTATGCTGTGATATCTGGCACCAAGCCATCAGTAGCAAGTCCTTTAAAGGAGAACTATGAGGTGAGTGCTTTTCACTCACCTCATAGTTCTAGCCGACCTGTGACAATGAAACTGTCACAGGTTGGCTCAGTAGATCGGGAGGTGAGCGAACACATACCGTGACAGGGGGAGCGCAGAGAGCCGTGACAGGGGGAGGGGCTGGATTCCCCTCTCCCCGCTCCGATCTGCCAGCGCTGACTGGCGGAACGGACGGGGGAGGGGGCGGGTACAGCTGGCTCTGCCTCTAGATAGGCAGAGTCAGCTGTCACTCACGCAGCTGGGCGGATCCCGTCATCTACGTCGGGATCCGCTGCGGCGTCTCAGTATACCGCGAGCTGTAGCTCGCGGTATACGGAGCTTAGGGTAACGGGAGGACGCTAGTTTGTGTCCTCCCATTACCCTAAGGAGAACTATGGGGAAAAACACTGACCCCATAGTTCTCCTTTAAGTCCTGTAAGTTGTGAGGTGGGGCCTCCATTGATCAGACTTGTCTTTCCAGCATATCTCACAGATTCTCGATTGGATTTAGATCTGGAGAATTTGGAGGCCAAGTCAACACCTGAAACCTGTTGTTGTGTTCCTCAAACCATTTTTGAACCATTTTGGGAGTGTGTCAGGGCGCATTATCCTGCTGATAGAGGCCACTGCCATCAGGGAATACCGTTTTAATGAAGGGGTGTACTTGGACAGCAACAATGTTTAGGTAGGTGGTATGTGTCAAAGTAACATCCACATGAATGGCAGGACCCAAGGTTTCCCAGCAGAACATTGCCCAAAGCATCACACTCAGTGATCATAATGTTATGGCTGACCCGTGTATAGCCAGAAATGGACACCACTGTCACAGCATATCGCTAGAGAGAATCACCACTACTCAGAAGCTTCAGTTACCTGTGTCACATCTATTCTCTCCTAAATGAGCATCAGTCTATTGGTGTTCTGCTTTCAATAACACCCCTGTCCAACCTGCAGAGCATTGCTAATGCAATGCAATTGAAACTGTCTTAAGGGCCCATTCACACCACATCCAGATCATCACCAGACCAGATTGTTTCTGGACGCAAAATGCATCCTAATGTATCCCTATGCTATTTCTGGTCTCTATTCGCACCAAATTTGGTCCAGAAAATGGTGTGAACCTGCCCTAAATGTCAACTACTAGCTTATTTCTTGTGTGTCAGAGATTTTTCTGCAAGTTTAGGCCCTCTTCACACCTCGCTGTTCTGTTAACAGTGTGTTAATGATTTGTGTTGCGGCCCCTGCATTGTGTTAATGCAGATTAAGGTGTGCATGTTAATGCAACACGTAGGTGTAAAACCATCCTTACTCTAAAGTAGTTTTTCCCAACTGTAGTCTTCAATTATTCCTAATAAGTTATCTATTAATGTAACCTTGTGCTCTGTCCACTTGAAGCAAATAACGCATAGGCCGTACAACAGCAACCGTGAAGTGTCTGTTTTTATATTCACCATGTCCCCTAATCTCCCAAATATCCTGTTGGAGTCTCTTGAACGTTTTATAAAAATAACAGTGTAGTTGCATAGGGTGAGCATGTGACAGCACAGAGGCGTGGAGATAGGTCAGTTAGGTGCTAAGAGTTTAAACACTGGAAGGAATGCTCCATATGAGGCCAGATGTACTGGTTTTTTGGGGGGGGGTTTTAACTCCAGTGACCATTTATTATTTCTTGGGAATGCAGTGAAGAGATCTTATTAGTGCTTCCTGTAGGTAGAATGCAAATTTACTCTAAGGATTGTCCTTGGCAGGAACATCCAAAGTAATCCAAGTATATCTAAAACCCAAACTTTTGATTCATTTTGAATAGAGTTGGTTAAAGGCTAAAACTATTGTCAGTTTGTTGCCATCTGCGTCTCCTTAGAGAGATTTCCCTTCACTTACTGTCCTGTTGACTTAACAGGAAGTGAGAGGATATTGTTCCAATGTGAGGGAAATCTTCTTTTAGACAGTGTCGTGAGAACAGGTGATCCCATTGAGATTTCCTCTCTATTCCTGTTCTGTTGGCAACTCAAAATGTTGGATTTACCCCAATTATCTTTCCTTGTGACACTGGTAATCAGGGCAACTAGAGAGAATGAAGTTCCCTAATGGCGACACAGCAAAAAAAAACCTTACCACCCTATCCAAATATAAGTAAAAGCTTTGCCTTTAGTTATACTTTAATTGATTACTGCCAGAGAATAAACAATTTAGTTTCAATGTACATAAATAAATGTCTGGTACCAAAGTGGTTGAAACCAAGATCAGATCTTGGTATAGATTTTTTTTTTTTCAGCAGACTGTTGGCATAGACACACAAGTAATGGGGCAGCAGCAGAGCCACCCGATTACTTGTATGGTTCTGAAGAACATGTCCCCCTACATTACTGCTGTCCCACGTGCTGGCCCTGGACTGGCACGGCAGTAGTTCTTGGGTGGCCGGAGGGAGATCAGCACAGCTCCGCTTTCTGATATCCTCTCTGATTATTGAAACCAGAAGCGATGAGGATTTCAGCACTTCTTGTTTTAACCTGTAATTTCTCTGCCTGCTGTACCGGAAAAGAAACTGATGAAGCATGATCTGTGCTTCATCAGCTTCTTTGGGGTCCATAAGTAACATCTATGGAGTCTAACAGATCCTTTATGTCTCCATAAAGAGGACTTCTCTTCTGTGCTGTCACATAGGGTGCTTGTTAGTACCCTATGTGATAGCAATAAAGTTAAGTGTAAAAAATATTGATTTGATAAACATTTGCTCAAATATCATGCAGCATAAAAAATTGCACCTAGCATAATTTTTATTCTACAGGACCTCTGCTTTCAGAAAATATGTAATTGTTTGGGGGTTGTATGCAGTTTTCTAGCCAAAATCTCTGATTTTAACATATGCTCGAAAAATTAAAACATTGCTTCAGTAGCGGAGTGGACCTGGTGATGTCTGCATTCTGTGACCCTTTTGTAAGACTTTCTTGGCTTTTTGGCCTTTCATATTTGTAGGGGAATAGCAACTTTCACAACTAAAGGGAGGCTCTCCCACTGTGACCTTTCATAAGTATCAGTACACCCACCAATTTGTTGGCTCTGCTGAGTGCAAAAGAACTGAACCATTAAAGTGTATTGTGTAAGGCAGAGGTAGGCAAACTTCAGCCCTCCATCAGTGGTAAAACTACAAATCCCATTAGGCATTGCAAGACTTTGACAGCCGCAGGCCTGGTTCCCGAAGGTAATGCATGATGGGATTTGTAGTTCCACCACAGCTGGCGGGCCAGAGTTTGCCTACCCCTGGAGCAAGGTAACAATGTACTGTATTCAAAATATCTAAACATGTAACATGTCATTCACAGGTACTTATTGCAAATAATGGCATTGCAGCAGTCAAGTGTATGCGCTCTATTAGGAGATGGTCATATGAAATGTTTCGGAATGAGCGAGCAATTCGGTTCGTGGTTATGGTTACCCCAGAGGATCTCAAAGCTAATGCAGGTATGTACTGGAGCGTGGAAATACTTTAGCGGGGTCATGATGTGTTGATGTAAAGGAAGAACTGAACAAAAATCTACAAATATGATATACTTCACTTTGTCTGTTTGTCCACCTTCCGTGTTCTTACTGAAAGTTTAGGGGAAAGTTGCGCCAGATTTTGAAGTACATTAACAAAGCCTGTTCTTCACGTTTCTTATATTTAGAGTATATCAAAATGGCGGATCACTATGTGCCAGTCCCAGGAGGAGCGAATAATAATAACTATGCCAATGTGGAGTTGATTGTTGACATTGCCAAAAGAATTCCGGTTCAGGTAAAGTGTGCTAAGAATTTATATAAAACTTACCTCTACTTATTTCACTTTGGTGTTTTGATAAAGTAGAGGCTTCTTGTTGTTGCTTTTACAAATCATTATTTTTATGTGATAAAGAGTTGCCATTGTAATTTAGAAAAGGAATTGCCTACATAAAAAAGCATAGTTTACTGTCATTAGGAATTCCTCACAATAGCTTAGTAGATACAGCTGTATTAAGTATTTGCTCTGACCTATGTTTTCCTATATTATAGGCTGTGTGGGCTGGCTGGGGCCATGCCTCAGAAAATCCCAAACTTCCAGAACTGCTACAGAAACAAAACATTGCATTCATGGGTAATGTCACCTAATCAAAGAATAGTACCTTAATGCAGAACATTCAGCCCTATTTCATATTGGATTGATACGAGTAGAGCGTAATATTTAATTCAAAATAAAGCACAGAGCGCTTCGACATGTGCAGAATTGTTTTTAATAGAAAAACCTCAAATGATAAAACCATACTCTCAAACAATGACAGAAAACGAGCATATTCTCTTAAATTTGGAGGGGGAGTGATTTGTTATAACATAGAGCATGGAGCGCAGATTCGTCAACTGGCTTCCCCGCCTCACGGTACCTCATGTACTTAAACGGCTAATGCGCTTCTGTGACACACCCCCTTCATCAGAGCCACCAATGGGGAGCCAACCTCGAGTTTGGTAATAGTGTGATTGCGACTCGCTATCGTTGGCTCATACAGCACCAACAATATAAGTATCAACAGTATATCTGCTTATACTGTTGGTGCTGTATGAGCAGGGGGAATCCAGAAGGTGAAACATTCTATAATATGAGCCAACGATGGCAAGTCGCAATCACACTATTACCTAACTCGAGGTAGGCTCCCCGTTGGTGGTTCTGATGAAGAGGGCGTGCATGGAATACAGGACTTAGGAGAAAATCTGTTATCCAGCTGTCACAAGCGCCGAGAACTCATCATCGCTTTTTAATATTTAATTTCGAGTAAGATAAAGGTACAACATAGTCCAAAGTAGGCTATACACACAGCAAATTTCAGCTGTTCTTAGTGCGGCGGGTGCTACTGAATAGTGCTGGAGGGGGTCTCAGCGGTGGGTGCTCCTGATAGTGCTAGGGGGAGGGTGTTTTGTGGTGGATCCAGTGGGACGCTGTCAGCTGCTCTGCCTGGTTCCGCCCCGCCCACTGACGTCACTGGTTGCCAGGAGCTCAGCGGTACACCAGCCAGAGCATCCTGCTCAGCTCCCTGGCAACTTATGAAGTCGGTGAGCTGGACAGGAAGCTGGACAGAGCGGCACAGGTTGATAAGAGCTCTTAGCAACATGGGACACTATGGCTGCCCTTCCGCCTCCCCCCCACACTTGCTGCCCCCCTGATGAGATGCCACCTGAGGCAACCGCCTCAGGCTGCCTCTTTAAAGAGACGGCCCTGCGTGTATATTCGGCTTAAGACTGGATTCACACTGTTCTGTGTACATGCAGGGTGCTTGGTAACAGACATGCGTAGAAGTTAATGGGCCCATTTAATTTCCATTTCCCTTTCACACTCGATGTAAACAAGTGCCGTAGAAAAGAATACGTTTTGCTGCATGAACGTATAAATAAAGTTTATTCTAAACAAACAAGTTTCTTTAAGTTACTAAAAGTATTGTTGATATGTCTGTTTTAATCCCTTGCCATTTTATTTTTTGCAGCTTCAATAGCTGCTAATATAACTGTTCTCCTATATAAGACAACCAGAATGTTTTTGTACACCTTGCAGTAGAACTGTAAACGTTTTAAACTGGTTAGGATTAGAATCTGTATAAAGATATATTGCTGTCTTCTGGACTGCAAGTAAAGGAAAAGCTCCTTTGTGGGAACACATACAGCATGTTACTAATAACCCGACAGATGTTCTAACTCTTTTCTCGAAAAAATGTTTATTTTATTAATTTCTTAATTTGACATGTTTTTGTTTTTTAGGACCTCCAAGTCAAGCAATGTGGGCATTAGGAGACAAAGTGGCCTCAACTATTGTTGCTCAAACTGTAGGAATCCCAACCTTGTCGTGGAGTGGAGATGGTATGATTTTTGTTGTTTTCTAGTGCTGCCAAGATTCTTTGTACGATCTGTTTATGTAATGCTACTTTTCTGTTCTGCACTTTTTCTGATCATTATTTTTTGTGCTGTAGGTCTAGTTCTTGAATGTAGCACAGAAGACAAACAGCAGCAAAGTATGATCTGTGTTCCCCCTGATGTGTATGATCGCGGTTGTGTGAAAGACGTGGATGAAGCTCTGGAGGTAAAGATTGCAAAAAATCTGATGTGAGCTGAATTATTCTGCTGGGGGTCATACTTGTTTGACAATCTGCTTGTGTGCTGGCATAAAGCATACAGTATTTATATTCATGTCACAACAATATGCTTTGCATATTAAAAGTGCACCTGTTCTGAATGGCCAAAGTTAGGGATTGGGGGGTATGGAATGGTGGCCAGCATGGTGGTTAGAGTGGGGGGAGGGCTTGGGGTGGTTGCAGATGCAGTGGTGAGAGTGAGGGTTGATGGAGGTCAGGTGTGGTGATGACTGGGGGTAGTGTGCAGGTATGGTCATGGTGGGCGGATGGGGGTCAGTTGCGGTTGTAAGAAGGGGTGGTGGTAAGCGCATGGGGGAGCTCAGATGCAAGCGTGAAAGTGAGGGGCTAGCATGCACAAGTGTAGTGGTGAGTGCAAGGAGGCAGGATAGGAGGTGAGGCACTGGGGGTGGGAGCAAAGAGGAGTTGCACAGGCATGGAGGTAAGCGGAGGTTGCAAGCTTGGTGTTAAAAAAAGAGTGGGGAATTAAATGGGGGGTGTGTGCAGTCACAGTTGTGAGACCAGGGGTGGGGGTGAAATAATGTGGACAGTTGGCATCGAGGTTGACACTGAGTGTATTTCACTCATCCCATAGTTCTTCATTATCAGCTTCATACACAGTGTAGCCCATTCTACGTATGCACATATACACATGCGTGCATGCATTCATACAAACCAATAAGAACACATACATATGTATAATAGCAAATTTAGCTCATTCTTTTCTTATGTTTGCTTAAACTCTTTGTTGATTAGTCTTCATAATTTAGTGAAGTGGTATACAAGAGTGAGAGTTTTACAGTTACATAAACACAAATATGAAGGACAGAAAGCTGTGTGCAGTACTAAGCAGATTAATAAAATAAAGTTAAGTGGACTGTATAAAACTGGTAGTAACATATAAACCTTTATGTATTTTGATCTCAGTGTTGGGTAAGTGTTCTCTTTTTGGCATGCTTGTATAAAAGAGAAAAAGCATTCTTTCCTGGCAAACGATCAACTGATATACAGTCTGCCAAGAACTTTGCATAGTTTCCAGCTAAAGGATGGCTCTAGTGCTATAATATGAGTGACAACTAACTCCAATAGTCTGCCTAACACTGATTAAATTTGTTGGGTCCATGCTGCTTTAAAATATCAACTGTTTTTTTGTTATGTCTCTTGTGGACTCAGGAGAGAGTATTTGGCACGTTAGTAGGCCCCTCCTATCGCAGTCATAACCAGCCTGTTGGGACTATTAATGTGGAACTCTTGGCAAAAAAACCTAGAACCTAAGTTTTACACCCAACATGTTTGTCCTGCTATATTCAACATCCTTCTCTACTCTGAAGTCACAATGCTCATTTGCTGGATGACTGGTGAAGCTCTGCTTCTTGTGCCCAATCCTTTACCTGTACAATGAAGGAGCAGCAGGGAATTGACGAGCTCACCCTGGTGCTCACACCTCCTCCGGTTCAGTGTTGGGCTGAGAAGCACTTTCCAAAGCAATAGAACCCTGACCAGCTTCCGATGTCCATGTGCTGAAGGTTGCAGGAAAGTGATATCAAAACCGTAGCTATTTTTTCTGGTTGTATGTAAAAAATACCTTGATTTTTTTTTTTTTTTTTTTATGAACACATAACTAAATTAAATCATGGTTTTTTTTATCACTGCCAGATCAGTTCAGCTTTAAAGCAAACCTTTCCTGAGAGACACATGGGAATATCATGGCCAATCCTCTACGGAAGGACCTAGTAGCCTAGTGGCTACACTGACCAGCTGGGTTCAGTGAGATCTGAGTCACTGACCTGGAACAAGTATGAAAATCTATAATGTCAGCAAGAGGGTAAACATGACAGCCAGGCAGCTGGCATGTGCCGAATGAAAATGATGGATTATGCCTGGTCTATTGTGCTGGAAAAGGCACCATTCCAGAGCTGACAGTCCATTTGTCTATTTATAAATTGGTGAAATCCATTAGGAAAATAGTAATGATAATAATCTGGTGACAAAAAGCACTGAAATACCTGGCAAGGCTTTTTATAAATAGGAGTAAGGGTGAATTATTCCCATTTATTGGGCACAATAAAAAAACAAAACGATTTTATATTTTTCTATTTATTTGTATGTATTATGTTACTTTTGTGATTGTCATTTCACTGAATCTAATACTAATGTACGGTACTTTTTGTGTTTGTTTCAAGTAAAAAACATAACTATTTAACCTTACTGCTTTCCAGTCTGCAGAGAGAATTGGTTATCCAGTAATGATAAAGGCATCTGAGGGTGGAGGTGGCAAAGGCATTCGCATGGCAGAGCGGGCAGAGGATTTCCCAAATCTTTATAGACAGGTGAGAATTCTGATTTCTAGATGGCATGTAGCGCTTTAAGTTCTCAGTATTACAAACTATTATGCGTTTCCCCAGTCAGTTTAGAAAGGCTTCAAAGATAAGGTGTCTTCTGCTGTGGAGGCACACAGACAAGTGATTGGCCTGTTCTGATAAACAAGAAAATACAACTTCACAGGGACACTAAAAAGAAGGACCTTTAAATGTGGAACATAAAGGTTTTTCTATACAGAAAAAATACCACTCTGTGAATGCTATTATTTCTGTATGGACTTGTCCCTCTGTTGTGTATAAACTGGCTGATGAAGCTGTTACCATATAGCACAATCAGAATGACCCGGGGTATCCATTTTTTATAGAAATCCTTTTTTAATTGCAATAAGTTGCAGCAGGGCTGTAGCTACCATGGGGTGAGTGAGGCACTCGCCTCAGGTGCAGCTGAGAGGGGGCGCAGCCAGGGCCAGCCTGGCTGCGCCCCCTTGCTCCTGTTGCCATGGCAAGCACAGGGCACCATGGCAACTGGGGCGCCAGGTTGCCAACACAAACAGCAAAAAGTTTTCCCAGCACACTCACCAGCCAGCATGCAAAAAAACTTGTCCCCCAGAGACGCACAAGGGATCCCGCACATCACAAGGCAGCTGAGACCCCCCTCTCTGTGCCTTTAAGGGAGGTTGGGCTTCCTCCTGACGAACCTGCACCCAATTTGATCTTTTGCCCCATGTGCTCCAAGATGGAGACTCTCATAGTTTAGAGTTAGGACCGCACTATCTGGAGGTGCCCTGGCGCGGCTGTGCGGCTTTCACATTTTCTACAGATGACGTGTATCTAAACCTCTGTTTTTAACCTTAGCGGTGAGAAAGTTTTTTTGCATGCTGGCTAGCGAGTGTGCTGGGAAAACTTTTTGCTGTTTGTACTGTATTAGGCCCTTCCATGTGCACCTTGCTGTAAAGCTGGTAACAAATTGATGAGTGCGCTTGCCATTTGTTTTGCCTAGGTTGCCAACACAGCCGCGCCATGGCAGGGAGAAGAGGGGCAGCACAGGCTCCAGTTTCTCCTCAGATGCCCGCTGCTCTCCCCTGCCTGTATTACAGGGGTCTGTTTACAATAAAAAGTAACAGTAACCCCTCCCCCACAAACACACTCATGCACACATATTATTAGACATGTGCAAAGACTAAAAATTTGTCTTGGACGAAATGAACAGAAACCAAAAAAATGGTTTCATTAGTTTCTTCAGACGAAACTAATTTTTATGCTATTTTGTATTTGTCCACCAGCGCATTCTGCACATGCGCGCCTGGAGGCGGGGCACATGACGTCACATGATGCAGTGCATCTGTGCGGCCTCGAGTGACATCACACGTCTGTTGGGGGGGGGCACAATTTTCTATTCTTGCCTCATGCGCAAAAGGAGCTCGCTACGGCTCTGAGTTGCAGCTCCTGGTAAGGGAGGTGATCCAATGGCGAGGTTGTAGATAACGAAAATGTTCCCTCGGGGACTGCCTTATTTTCTCTGAGCGAGGACCAATCGGGAAACCTCCTAGAAGTGAGAAAAGATAAACATGTGAGAAATTATGAGTGGTCCACCAGTGAAAGGATGGTCCACTCCCGGTGTAAACAATGAGTTACACACAATAGGCAGAAGGGGAAGGAAAGAGGAAGAAATCCTTTTTTTGGAATAGGCTGTTGTTCGATATCTTAACAGTGAATGCGTTTACGTCCATCTTCTTAATTCAGGTACAAACAGAGGTGCCCGGATCCCCTATCTTTGTGATGAAGCTAGCTCAACATGCAAGACACTTGGAGGTCCAAATCCTGGCAGATCAGTATGGAAATGCTGTGTCTCTCTTTGGACGTGACTGTTCCATACAGCGACGGCATCAAAAGATTATTGAAGAAGCGCCAGCCACTGTTGCTCCTCCATCTGTGTTTGAATACATGGAACAGGTTGGTAAGATCACCACATGCTTGCAGCTGCAATTATTTAAGGTGGCCATACGCAGAAAAACTTTATTTTTGTCCCTGTGAAAACTCTCAGAAACCTTTTATTATTGTGTACTGTATGTGACTTTAATGGTCAGCCAAAATATTGACATCCTCCTCTGAGTCCTAATTGTTAATATTTCCAAATTTTAGATGTATACATTCCCTAGATAGTAATTGCTCTTCATTTAGGTGTATGCATTACTTATATCTGAGCATCCTGTACTTTACTTATGTCATACCTAAAATGTAATTCTTTCCTGTTAACAGTGTGCTGTCCGCCTGGCTAAGATGGTAGGCTATGTCAGTGCTGGCACGGTGGAGTATCTTTACAGTGAGGATGGCAGCTTCCACTTTTTAGAACTGAACCCGAGACTTCAGGTGGAACATCCCTGCACTGAAATGATATGCGACGTTAACCTTCCTGCTGCTCAGTTACAGGTATGAAAAGATAGAAGGCAGTCTAGCGTCATTTCCTGAGTTAACATATACGCTAATTGAGATGAGAGTATTGTGACCACCTGAATATAATATATTATGTCATTTTCCTGTTGAATAATCATTTATAAGGTTATTTTTTACACAACCAAATGATAGAGATAAACCTGTTCATTAACATGGAATGCCTAATTCTGGTGCTATAGTGCTTCAGTTTTGTTTGCAGTTATTTTGGAATGCAGTATAAGGTTGCTAATTGCAAGCAGGTAACCCAGAATAGCTTGGAATTTGTTGGAAACTGATATATGTTTTAATAAAGCCCAACTGAACTTTAGTTTTAAATTCGCTACAAACATTACTGGTGCATCAAACCAAAATGTTTTCGTTGTGTTAGAGTTTTTTCTTTCCTAAAGCAGCTACAGCCTGAGTAGAAAAACCTGTTTCCTGCTAGTAACTGCAGAGTAGGACTCATGCTCTCTGTGGAAAAGCAGTGGGATCTCTTCACAGGTCTGAAATGCCACTGTACCTTTGCAGTCAGCAAAGCTCATACTACTTGCTGATTGGAGAGCTCTGGCTCTGACTCATTAGGAGGCATGTCAGACCTCTGCAGAGAGATCACGGCTTCCCCACGGAGAGCAAGGGTCCCATATGCAGAATGCTGGCAGGGAACACACTTTTCTACTTGGGCTCCTTTTTAAATGAAACAAATTGTAATGCCTTCAACATACTTTGTTCATGTACATGGAATACATTTAGCTGCTTTAAAATATAAGTTCAATTGGGCTTTAAGATTTTATTGTCCTACAGATATACGGCATCTTAAAAATATGGATCGTGTGACTGCCTGCTGTGCTATTGTATACAGCAGTATTGTATACAGCAGTGTTGCATGCATGCCAAATAAAGTTGTGAACCCAGCTGATGGTATACCTGGAACTGTGGGACCTTTAAGGAGAACTATGAGATGAGTGATTTCTCACCTCATAGTTCTAGCCGACCTGTGACAATGAGACTGTCACAGGTCGGCTCAGTAGATCGGGAGGTGAGCGAACAGATACCGGCGTTCGCTCACCTCTCGATCCTGTCACGGCTCTCTGCCGTGACAGGGGAGGGGCTGGATTCCCCGCTCTGATCCGCCAGCGCTGACTGGCGGAACGGACGGGGCGGGTACAGCTGGCTCTGCCTCTAGATAGGCAGAGCCAGCTGTCACTCACGCAGCTGGGCGGATCTCGACGTCGATGTCGGGATCCCCTCCGGCTGCGGCGTCTCAGTATACCGCGAGCTGTAGCTCACGGTATACTGAGCTTAGGGTAACGGGAGGACGCTAGTTTGTGTCCTCCCGTTACCCTAAGGAGAACTATGGGGGAAAGCCCTGACCCCATAGTTCTCCTTTTAAAGGGCCCATTACCGCTTTACTGTACAATATGCTTGTGTTTTAAAAAGAAACCAGGTAGCCCAGAAACAGGAATTAATGGTACAGTTTTCATCAATTCATTGGTTTGCAGTTTAGTAAAATGCAACATGCAACTTTTTTTCCCTCTGATTTTAAGAAAACTCATACTTTTCAAAAAGTTACAATGCATGTTTTAAGAAAAGTGTGGAACTGTGCTCTAATTGCCACATGTTGAAGTTGTGCTGAATGCCAGAGTATTTGATTTCAATTTTATTGAGCCAAACTGTCAGTTTTAAAGCCGCAATCTAGGAAAAAAGATCCTCTCCCCTTGCCCATTCACAGGGCATTCTGTGAATGGGCAAGGGGAGAGGACAAACAACAGTTCAGCTTATATGTATGAGAGCCACAGCTCTCCTGTTGCAGCACAAGAAGTATATTGCTGGCAATACTTTCTTACATCAATTTAACTAGGATTTTTACAGTACACAGTAGTGCAAGCCTAGGATAAGCATCATTTGAGGAAACTTTTGTTTTTAAAAGAAAATCTAGGTTTTTTTTTTTTTTTAACAAAAAACAAAAGTTTCCTTAAATGATGCTTATCCTAGGCTTGCATTGCTACTGTGTACTGTAAAAATCCTCGTTTAATTGATGTAAGAAAGTATTGCCAGCAATATACTTCTGGTGCTGCAACAGGAGAGCTGTGGCTCTCATACATATAAGCCGAACTGTTGTTTGTCCTCTCCCCTTGCCCATTTACTGAATGTCCTGTATACCGTGCATTGTTCACATAATACAAGGCATTTTGTGAATTTTCGTGGGACAGACAGACAACAGTGCGGTTTGTGTGTATGAGAGCCACAGCTTGTCACAGCACCGGAAGTATAGGCTTGCTGTACTTTTACAGCATCAATGTAAACTACAATTATTACAGTACACAGGAGCGATGCAAGCCTAGGATAAGCATCAGTAGAGGTAACTTCTTTGTACGCAGCAGATGTAAGTTCCACTTTAACTACTGTGAGATTCGCTTTTTTTCAAACCAATGGTAAGCTAATTAGTGCACACCCAATATACTTTTTCAGGTAAATATTTTGTTGGATGCATGTTTTTTCTTTTGCTATCCTTCCTCTTAAAGGTGCGTAGAGGAAACTGTTAAGATGATTATATTGAGCATTATTAATGTCTGTTTGGCTTCTGTTGATGTTTGAAAAGCTATTTTGCCAATCCCCCACTTCTCTGATTTTACCAATCGTAGCAATCGTTGTAATGTGTAAGCTTGTTTTTTTTTTCTTTAATTAGATATCCATGGGAATCCCACTGTACAGAATAAAAGACATAAGAGTGCTCTATGGAGAGTCACCTTGGGGAGATTTACCAATATGCTTTGAGAATCCCACAAACGCCCCAAACCCAAGAGGCCATGTCATTGCTGCAAGAATAACAAGTGAGAACCCCGATGAGGTACGAGTGTTTTTGTGATCTAAGAGTTACACAGCAAATATCCCTACAAAGTAGCTGGAATTCTGTCTTTTTCAATGCTGCCATTGTTCAAGCACAAGAACTGTCTGTTAATGTCTAGTTACTGTCTGATTGATTACAGTTGTTTTTTTTTCTTTTCTTTTATACACCAGGGGTTTAAACCCAGCTCAGGGACCGTCCAAGAGCTCAATTTCCGAAGTAGTAAAAATGTTTGGGGATACTTCAGCGTGGCGGCCGCCGGCGGTCTGCACGAATTTGCTGATTCTCAGTTTGGACATTGTTTCTCCTGGGGAGAAAACCGTGAAGAGGCTATCTCGTTAGTGGTGACAACTGTCTTTTTTTACTTAGAATCATCCGCCAATGCTATCTCTTCTGGCTCAAGCTATGTAGAAATCTTTGAAATTAATCTTTCTGGACAATGTTATACTGAAAAAACAATATTTGCCAGCATAGGTGCAATACATCTACAGTCATTTTCTATTTGGAAATCATTCTTTATCTCAAGCTTGAAATGTTTACATTTTTGGCAGAGACCCACATACTTTAGTTTGTGTGTGCTGTATTATTATTGTTATTATTACAATACTCGATCTATATAGCTCCAACAGTTTTCTCAGTGCTTAGTTATTAATGTGTGCATTAAGGGGCACTTAAGGGGTTCTTGCGACGATCAGCCAGCATCCTGGCTGGTTTAGAAGGATGAATGAGGGATGGCGATAGCTTGCGCAACGCCATGCCTTTCTGCTTCACTGTACCCCCTCAGTGCCCCCTTTCCCACAGGTCCGCTGTTCATGACATCTTGGTATCTTGACTCTTGCTGTAAGTAAGAAAGGTATTTAAAGGGAGTTCTGTGGCATACCTTCATTTAACTGAAATGCATACATTATCTTTTTTCCAGGAACATGGTTGTAGCTCTTAAAGAGCTGTCTATAAGAGGAGATTTCAGGACAACAGTGGAATACCTCATCAAGTTGTTGGAGACTGAGAGCTTCCAAAATAATGAAATTGATACGGGGTGGCTGGATCATCTGATTGCTGATAAAGTCCGGGTAAAGTCCAAACATTCCTGTAATTGTAAATGACCTTATTTTTTTAAGCAAATATGTGTTCTGTAATGGCTGTGGTGATTTGGGGTTTCTGTTGGGCTGGTTAACTTTCCATGAATGCTCTGAACTGCTTTTCTTACTATGATGTGAATGGCAATATGTTCATAGATATGTATCAAGGATCGTTTACTTTTCTTTATTTTATCTGACTTATTGTTGTTGTTTTTTTCCATCAGGCTGAGAAACCAGATACAATGCTTGGAGTGGTCTGTGGGGCTCTCAATGTTGCAGATGCTTTTTTTCAAACATGTATGAATGAGTTTCTTCACTCATTAGAAAGGTACTGTATTGCCTATTTACAATGAAAACACTCACTAACTGTACTATATCTTTGGAGGAGCAGGGGTGTCACTCCAGGACAGGAAATGTGTTAGTGCTAAAGAACACAACCCACTCTTCAAAACCCCTCCAACACAGAGGGAGGTGTTCCCACTTTCACAGCTGTGAACTGGACAGATTTGAGGAAACTGCAAATTACACAGGAACAGATATAAGCTCACTGGATTTTACCATTTCAGTATCTATATGAAGTTTAACCTCTTATTTCAGGTCTCAAATGTCATACAAATATTTGCTGTATAGATTTTGAGTTTCTGTAATTGTTAATGAAATATTGAGTGACACAGTCTGGGGATAGGAGTGATATCTCTGTTCCAGCTTCCCCTGGAAAGTGCAGTTCATTTTATATCAACCATGCGTAGTAACTATGTTAAAGGAGAACTATGGGGTTCTATCTTTTTTTTATGAATGCATTCCTTAGGCTAAATAAGTAAATAATGTAATTTACTGTAATTAGCCAAAATGCACAGTAAGGCTGTAAAACCTTATTTTAGGTGGTGGGCGGGGCTAAGCGTCGCAATGAGAAGACATCCCGACGTATTTGAAGGTATCCTCCCCACTGATGATTGACAGTGATTCTTAAAAGCTGCTACGCGTCCACGAATATATGGACATGCGCAGCAGCTCTCTCCTTACCTGCACGTCCCCGTGTGCCAGCTCCTTCCTCTCTCTCTCTCTCTCTCTCTCTCTCTCTTTCTTTCTCTCTCTCTCTCTCTCTCTCTCTCCCCGTTGATTCTGACATACTAAAACGATCGTGGATCGCTGATGACAGAGGGGAAGGAGCTTTCTCTCTCTCTTCAGCATTTACTACAAATCGGAAAGTCCATATATGGTAAATTATGTCACTGGAGATCCCTGCTGATCCGATCCGATCGGATCGGATCCGATCATTTACCATATATGGACTTTCTGATTTGTAGTAAATGCTGAAGAGAGAGAGAGAGAGCTCCTTCCCCTCTGTCATCAGCGATCCACAATCGTTTTAGTATGTCAGTGTCAGCAGGGAGGGAGAGAGAGAGAGGGGGGAAGGAGCTGGCACACGGGGACGTGCAGGTAAGGAGAGAGCTGCTGTGCATGTCCATATATTCGTGGACGTGCAGCAGCTCTCAAGAATCACTGTCAATCATCAGTGGGGGGGATCCCGTCAGATACGTCGGGATGTCTTCTCATTGCGGCGCTTAGCCCCGCCCACCACCTAAAATAAGGTTTTACAGCCTTACTGTGCATTTTGGCTAATTACAGTAAATTACATTATTTACTTATTTAGCCTAAGGAATGCATTCATAAAAAAAAGATAGAACCCCATAGTTCTCCTTTTAAGCATTGATAATTAAATGAAAATATGTTTTTGTTTTCCAGAGGCCAAGTCCTTCCTGCAGCTACACTTTTGAACATTGTTGATGTAGAACTGATCTCTGAAGGAGTGAAATACACACTGAAGGTAAAAAATGGTTTATGGTGCTTGTGTTTTGCTTGTTTAGTTGTGTACTAAGAAACTGTAATGAGTAGAAGCTACACTGATTCCTAAGTTAGCAAATGTAAAACAGTATCAGAATATTTAAAGAAGAACTTTGGGTATATTAAACATTAACCCTTGCAGTGGGACTACCCCCGCACTGCAAGGGTTAAGTGCTTTTTTTGGTCTAGGGTCTCAAATAAAAAAGATATACTCACCCGATAGCCACCTGGCTGCTCGACCAGTCGCTGCTGCCTCTTCCCCGGGCTCCCGCAGTCTAAGGACCTGTGACATCATCACATCCATTAACTTGCATTGAACACATCCGAAGCAGAGAGGGAGAGAGGTGAGCGGTCAGGCGAGTATATCTTTTTAAAAATTTTAGACCCTAGACCAAAACGAGCACTTAATCCTTGCAGTGTGGGGGTAGCCACATTGCAAGGGTGAATGTTTAATATGCCCAGAGTTACTGTTTAAAATAGTTCACCGGCAGGATTCCAGAGGGCTTTGGACTGGGATGCACAGTATTAACCCCTTCATGACTGAGCTAGTTTTCAGTTTCTGTTCATAAATGACTGACACACTTTTTAAATTTTTGCTGTGTGATTCTTCCACAGGAGTAATATACTTTCTTACTTAAGGCCAGTCTATGGAGCTGTCAAAACAAATAGCATAATGCTACTGACATATGTGATTGAACCCAGATTTAGAGCTGTGTTTCTCAACCTTCTTTCAGTCTCTGCACCTTTTAAAAGTATAAAAAATCTTGATGCACCCCAGTCTAAAATGTAAAAGACTTTAATGTTAAAATCGATGTCCTTCCCCAAAATCAATACCAGACCCTTATCCTAGGCAGGAATCTGGTATGGATTTTAAGGGGGACCCCATGCAAAAGAAGAAAAAAAATAACAATGTGGAGTTTCCCCTTCACATCAGATGCCCCCCCTTCACATCAGACTCCCCTACCTTTCTCATCAAAATGCCTCCCCCCTTTTACATCAGAAGCCTCCTCCCCATAACATCAGGAGCAATTTGAAGGCACCTCTGAGAAAGCCAGAAGGCACCCCAGGGTGCCATGGCACCCTGGTCGAGAAAGGCTGGTGTAGAGGGTCATTTGAGCAATTTTCTGGTATGGTAAGCATTGTGAGACATTCTGTAATAAAGCTGCACACAAAGAATTCCAATCCAGGGGCACTTTCAGCTTCAATGTACTTGCAGTTTACATGTATATTGGACGTAGATGATGTTTTAAGTGTTTGTTGGATTGTAAACCTTGGATTTTGTATCAGTAAAAATATTTTGAATCTGAGAGTGCTCCTAGATGAGGACTCTTTCGTGAGCAGCAGTATTTTTGCTAAGTAATGGGCAAACTTTGAGACCTTTAGAGCAAGTTAAAGCAGTTGGAATCTCTTGGAGCAGTACTTTTGCAGTACAGTGTGTGCCTCAATAAAGTGTGAGTAGCACACAATCTCCTGTTTGAAATGCTGTAATAAAGCTTTAGCTGTGTTTGGCTTTGTAACAGAGTATGTCCGTCATTACACCATTCTTTGATGTCTTTGAGATATCCAATATTGCTCTTTTTCTTTAACATATCTCTGCTAATCAACACAGAGAGAAGAGTGCCTCCTCCTAGTGTAATACTGTTCAATGAATATAGATAAAAGCACAGAGCAACCAGGTAGTCACATGTACAAGAATTATCTGAGTGTGTAAGAAACCAACAATGAACAGACCATGTCTTCTAGAGAGCCATTCACATAATGATGGACCACCACAGGAAGACACACTAATGTACCAGCTATCGCATTTTGTGGGGATCCCCCTCTCCTTCCTCAGAGCTGACAAGCTTATATCTGAATTAGCTAAAACAAGTCGGCTTTCAATATACTTGCTCCAATTTGATGCAACAATTCAGGTGGCAAGGCCCGCCACTCCATGTACTTGGTGTAACCATTTGGACTGCACATATATTAGTGTGGCACACTGCCTGTAAATCATGTGGCCAGATTAACAGATAAACCGCTACAAATTAACCATCTACCAGATAGATCATGTGGCCTAATAAGGAGGAGCAAGAACGGACTAATCTTTATGAGCAGTATGGCGCACACTCCCGCTCTGTGGCCGGCGTGTTTACAGAAAGCTGGCTTGTTTGCAGAGGACGGGTGTGCAGGCAGGGTACGGAGTCACAACCCACACCGCTCTGGCTGTCTAGATTGGGGGCGCGACACTTAGCACCACTGTCATAGCAAGTGGGCAGGAAATCCTCCCTGACTCGCTGACATTGTGACAGCATGACAGCTGGGGAATGAAGAAGGGGAGGGCAGAGCGGGCCGTGGATAACATTGTAAAGCCACACAGGCTGCCACCTAAGAGACTCACTGCGCTAAATAATAACACACAGCAATGTGGACATGATTGAAATAATAATAATCAATATAAAGAACATGATATAAAAATCAGTAATAATGATAATAAAAAAGGCATGGTAAAAATATAGGCAAAATTGTGTATTACCTACAGATACTACAACAAGGGGCCATTAAAATGTATTATTGATGTAAAATACAGTTCAAATGTATTCTTGATGTATAGCTCAAATATATAAATAAAATGATCTCTGCTAATCATACAATGGTTGCTTTAATGCAGGTTGCCCGGCAGTCTCCCACTACCTATGTGATCATCATGAATAACTCTCACATAGAAATAGATGTGCATCGGTTAAGTGATGGTGGACTGCTACTGTCCTATGATGGAAATAGTTCTACAACCTATATGAAAGAGGAGGTGGATAGGTATGTTTGTGTTATTGTTGCTCTGTTTTGAGACGTTGTAGAAGTTTTTCAGTTATGTCCAAAACACACTGTCAAAATTAGGTATTAACCACCCTGACTTAATGTATTCATAGTCCATTTTAAAGACTTAAATACCATTGTACTAATTAAGTACTGCTTGGGTGCTTCAACTTTTTTTGTGGTTGGTCATTTGCTGCTGCAATGGATCTGCCATAACTGGGATTAAATTAAATAGGAAAAAAATGTGATGTATTTTTAAAGGGGTCTCTAACAGGAGCATCCCAGTGAATAATTATATAAGATATGCAGACCCCCACAGTGCTCCTGATCCCTAAATGTTTTACTATATCCTATAGAGCTGTGTTTCTCCAAAATGTGGCACCTAGCTCTGTATATACAAGGAAACTAGATAGAGCCTATTGAAGGGGACACTACTGCAGCAACGTATCTGGCTCTGCCACCTGTACTTGCATTTTTTCAGCCTCAGCCATTCATAAGAGTATTATTGTGCCTCATATATTTGTAGTCTAGCATGTATGTACATGTTAGAGCATGAAACAAAACATTTTTTTTGCAGGTTCCGGGTCACAATAGGCAACAAGACCTGTGTTTTTGAAAAGGAAAAAGATCCCACAGTATTGCGTTCTCCCTCGACTGGCAAATTACTACATTATATAGTAGAAGATGGCGCCCATGTTAATGCAGGCGATTGCTTTGCAGAAATTGAGGTAGCTTCTGGCAAAATCTGGTTCTTCATTTCAATAGGTTTTAACTCAAGCTTGAAAGTAATTACAGTCTAGAAAATTGACAGGAAATTTGATATATGGGTGAGAGGAGCTGCAAGCAGCCCAACTAAGCGACTGTCCAACTAATCGATAATGAAAATCATTGACAACTATTTTCATTATCGATTATTATCGACTTTCAATTAGTTGTTGCAGCCCTAATATTAGAGTGACTTTCAAGTTTGATAAAGCATTTAAACAAAACAACTGTTAAGCTAAATAGGGCTTAGCTGAGGATCTAAGGTGGATCATTATAGATGTTGTGTGTAGGCTTGTGTGGTTGTTAGGGAGGTTTCATAGACCTGGAGTGGCGTGGGTCATAAGTTTGAGGTCTTATGGAATGTGATCTAGCATTTTAAGGGGATCATGTAGTTGTATTGGGTCTTGCGTTGTTGGGCAACAAGGTTAGGTCTAACAAGCCAGGTTCTTTTACGTGACCAGCTGTTAGTTGTCTTTGCGAAAGTAGGGAAAGATGCTGGGGGGACAGTGTAGGGAGAGGTGGGCGAGGAGAGAAAGTGGTCTGATCTTAGCTGTAAGGTCTGCCCCTGTGAGACTTTTATAGTTTCTGTTTTCTGCTTAGTGAGTAGGGCTAGGTTGAGGTTACCAGAGTAGTAGTGTTTAATCCAAGGCAGTCATTACTTATACATTTTAACTACTTGGAATTGTTTATATGCAAAATTATCCATCTATAGTAAGCTTTTTCCTTTGTGCTGGGCGATGGTTATAATCATCTGTATGACGTTGCAGGTAATGAAGATGGTGATGACACTGCTGGTGCAGGAGCCAGGTCATATTCACTATGTGAAACGTCCTGGGGCTGTGCTGGAATCTGGTTGTGTGGTGGCTCGAATTGATTTAGATGACCCATCCAAAGTTCATCAGGTAACTGATATATGTGCATCTGTGTATGTGGATCCATGTTCGTTGCTCATTTGAAAACTCAGTCTTCTAGGAGGTGTTGTTTTCCATTTAATTTTTTTGTACCTCACTTCCATTTCATGTAGTCTGTATTATTTTCATCTATACATGATTAAAGCAGTTTTTACTCCTGGCACATAGACTGAACTATATACTGGAGAACTCCTGCCACAGCAGACCATGCCGATCATGGGAGAGAAGCTCCACCAAGTCTTCCACAATGTGCTCGAAAATTTGAACAATATCATGAATGGATACTGCTTGCCTGAACCATATTTCATAAACAAGGTGAGTGAAACACATGATAAAGTACGTACATCTGTTATAAAATATGGCAGGAAACTTTTATTTTATATAATATCAATTGTTTTGGCACCAAATAAAAACATCCTAAAGGCATTAGATAACTGTTTATTTTAGGTTAAAGAATGGGTTCACAAACTAATGAAGACGCTTCGGGATCCATCCCTTCCTCTTCTGGAGCTACAGGAGATCATGACCAGTATATCTACTAGGATTCCACCAACTGTAGAGAAAGCCATACGTAAAGTCATGGCTCAGTATGCCAGCAACATCACTTCAGTTTTGTGCCAGTTTCCAAGCCAGCAGGTATGTGTAGGAAACCGTTTATATTCATTGTCCTTTTTGTGGTAAATGCAGGTCAGAAATTTTAAAGCTGAAATCTAGGCACATATTATAAAAAAGACACAAATGAATAAAGGTCTGTATTCATGAATACAATATTACATTAATTTTTTTTATTTAAGCATTTCAATCTCTCACTTGCAGTTTTTGAATGGCTTGTGTAAACAGCCATGTAAGAAGCTACCTGAGCTCAGCAAACACATTGTGTCCAGTGCGACTACTGCTCATAGTGTTTAATGATCTCTGTAAAGGTGACCATACACTGTACAACCCTCGCAAGACTTGTGTCTTGCGACGGTTGTAAAGTAATTAAAAAAACGTACGATCTGCCCATCTTGGACAGGCAGATCGTACTTGTGATCATCCTCAGCCCGCCCCACTGAGGGACAGCTTCCGATGACTGCAATGCCGAACGGGCAGTGTGCGTGTGCGCCTCTAACCCGCCGAGAATCGTACGATTCTTGGCGGGTTTTCCAGCCTGCTTGTTCGACGGAAGACGTGCGATCGTACAGTAGAAACGGTTGCACGCCTTCCATACACTTTGCGATTATCGTACGATCGCGGGATTTCCCGTGATTATCGCACGATAATCGTACAGTGTATGGGCACCTTTAGAAGTGAGAGGTGAACCCTCCATCTGCACTGGGTGCAGCATGATCAAGCAGAATCAGACCACTTCTCAAATGGCTATTCACATGAACCCAGAAAAAGCCAATAAGGGTTATAAATCAATGCCAAAACAAATTCTGATACTGGTCTTAAATCCCAGTAATGTAAACTAAGTGACACATATGTTTTATAGATCGCCAACATCCTGGACAGCTATGCTGCTACCTTACAGAGAAAAGCAGACCGAGAAGTGTTTTTTATGAACACACAGAGTATTGTGCAGCTTGTGCAGAGGTAAGTGGAACACAAATCTGCATGCTTTAACACAATCTATTTTAAAATAATAAAATTATTATTACTATTTTATAATATATTGATTTATATATTATTATTATTTTCTATAAAAAAGTCAATTTTGATACAATTTTGTTTTGCTATGGTGTTTAATGAGCCTGTTTTTCTGCGGTGTTAAAGCTGAACTTTAGGTACAAACTAAGATCAACCACATGTACCTTTTATGAAAGCTTTTGTGGTTTACAGAATGATGTTTTATCCAAAATGCCATTCCTAAGAGATGAAAATTGATTCAATAATTATTTTGTGAATAAGCTTAATTTGAGGAATGCAGCTACAGGGGGTGGGGGCAGTAGTAAAGGTTGCCATGTGTGATGTACTGCAAACTACATCTTTCTTGAATCAAAGTGTAGGTGTCGTGTTAGAAAGGGCTCGGGGCTGACCTACCCATAGACTACATAGACAGGCAAGAGGTCTAAAGCAAGGGCATGGAAAGATGGGCTACTAAGGTCTGGGTTCCACTTTTAGTAACACCATTACCTAAATTCATTTCTTTCTTGCAGTCCTCAATTTTATATAGTAGGTCTGATAGTGTTGGGCACCAATAGATAGTCCTGGATGAGGCATGCTCATCAGTAAACATTAAACTAAATAAAATGACTTATGTAATACAAATGGCAATAGCTGTTGGAGAAACTGGGCACAAAAGTGCGTAAGATGTTTTTTGGCCTTGGTTTATGTTACAGAATATCCATACTTTTGTCAGCCTGTCAAGGAAGACCAATGCTCAAACTTTACACTGAGATATTTTCTTTTACAGATACCGCAGTGGAATCCGTGGCTACATGAAATCTGTGGTACTTGATTTGCTTAGAAGGTACTTGCAGGTTGAAACTCAATTTCAACACTGTAAGTAGAAAACCTACTGCTTGAAATATGCAGTATTATTATTATTATTATTATTATAATACAGGTTTTATATAGCGCTAACAGCTTGCACAGCGCTTCTCAAAATAAAGAACTTTATTTTTGTACTTTGTGTTTTAAAAGGTTTTCCGTTCTTAGCAAATTCAGGGAGTCATGTGCAATAGTTGGTGTTCTCCACTCTCAAATCCCCAGGGAATCACAATAGGGGGGATTTATCAAAACTGGAGCAGTTGCATATTGAAGAGAGATTGAACCAATCAGCTTAATTTTGTTCAGTTAAGATGTGAAAATGAAAGAGACAAGCTGATTGGTTGCAATGCACAGGTGCTCCACATTGTGTCTGCTCCAGTTTTGTCAGGCCTCCACAGTGTACTAAAAGTTTGTTGGCCTCATTTCTAGCTGAAGATAATCAACAAATGGCATGTGTTCTAGGATGGACCTGAGAAGAGCTACTGTAATCAGACATTCTCTTACTGAAAGAGGAAAACTGCTTTTTAGGGAAACTATACTGTATTTTCTAGAAGTACACTTTTAGAGATATTATATGATTAACTTACATTAAGCTGAGCACACAGATATAACATACATTATGTTAAAGAATATCTCTGGGGGAAAAATAAAACTTACCCTTGCAGTGCTTTTTTTGTCTAGGGAGTTCAAATAAAACAGTTTATTTATTATGATCCTAGGTCCCCTCGTGTTGAGCACTCTCCTCTCTTCCCCTCCACTCCGGCTATGGAGTGTACCTCAGCATCCTCATGTCTAATGCAGATCAGTGAACTTGCATAAGACATGATGACATCAGCGGCCCTTAGAACCCAGGGGAGAAGAGGCTGTGGGGACCATTCTAGAAGGGAGCCGGCGGGACCAAGGATCAGGTTAGTAAATTTGCTTCATTTGAGTACCCTAGACAAAATGAGCACTTGGAGGAGGGGGGTATCCCCACTGCAAGGGTACGTTTTTTTATATTTTCTCTGAGTCCTTCTTTAACACTTTCTCAGTTTGTCAGTAGTGATAATTTTTTATCAGAATGGTATCGATTTGACACCAAGATTTGTGTAACCTGTATACAGCAATGAGGTGTTTATTCAGGACAAGTTACATAGAAATAATTAAAAAAAGAACAAAAAAAGCAAATGCTCATTTTTGTGATGTGAACTGAATCCCTGCTTGAAATTTCACTATAAGGAGTGAGAAAATAGTGTAATTAGGAGGCTGTGCCTTGGGCAGAATAGGTATAGACAGTGATGTTTTCAAAAAATGTAATTACGTATATTTATACAGTTCAGTCATATATGAAACTTTGAAAAGGGTACAAAGTCTGCCTGCGGAGTATCTGTAATTTTCATTCATGCATTCATGTTTTGGACCTGGCTGTCTCCCTAGCAAAAAATGTTTTTATCTTTAAAAATGTCACGTCCTGAATCTGAGCCTTGTAAATTTTATGGCGCATTATTTAATGGATCCAGCACTGTCCCCTTGAGTCCATTGCAGTTTAATTCTCACACACATGCAGCATAAGAGGGAGGTTGAACAGAATACTGTGACAGGTTGCAGTCTTCTCAGAAGCAGTGTGGGTAGCTGAATTGGTCTGCTAACACAATTGAGTGGATTTTCAGATTTGGGCATAGTGATGGTGTTACCTGGATAACATTAGCAGTTTGCTGAACTATTTTGCATGTTTCCTGGTTTTGCTCCTTTGTAAGGGATAGCACTGCAGATTACAGAAACAAAATCATAATCCAGAAAATCCCAACATAAATTCTGCAAACAGGAAGTCAGTCCCATATTTGTGCCATATCGTTTTTCTCTATGTATTATTATTATTATTATTATTATTATTTCCTTACCATGTCCACATTATATGAACTTCTTGACACCACAGAAGTACTGTACGATTTTTACACCATTGAATGTTTATTTTTTCTTTTGGAAGCTGGGACAATAGACTAATAATTTAATGAAGTACATTAATATTATTCCTGTAGCGCACGATGACAAGTGTGTCATAAACCTGCGAGAGAAGTACAAGCCTGACATGACTCCTGTACTGGAATCCATCTTCTCACATGCCCAGGTGGCCAAGAAGAACATTCTCGTTACTATGTTAATTGTGAGTATTCTTTTTATCCTGGATACATTGTGATTGTTCTTGATTGTAATCATGAAATTGGATATTTATTAGCCAACTTCAAAAGTGATGTTAACTGATCTATAAATTAGAAAAGCGTGACGCTTTGACTAAGAACGTCTGGGTGTTGAGTGGAATAGGGACAGGGTACCCTCCTTCCCCAAGATCTTGTTTGCCCTAATCCTAGCATTTGTTTGATAGTTTGATAAGGCAGTTTTTCAGGTGGGCAGTTACTGTTCTCAGTTATTTAGGCATATTGTCCTAGAGGTTCTATAAAGCTGACCATACAGTGTTATATTTTTGTGTTCAGCCTGTGGGCTGAATGAAAAAAAAATATTACAGATTTCTCCATCTATGCTTAATAGCGTGGTTGGGCAAATCTCCCACTGTGTCATTTGTATTTTGACAGCGGTGGTTGTGTCAGTGTCAGAATAATTGAGCAGTGACACCAGCAGATTGTCTGCTGTTACTGTTCGCCCAAAAGATTTTCTACCTGGTTCCTTTGATTTTCTGATCGATAGATGCAGGACAGAAGGGTGCTGACAGGGGCACCGCATCCACTGTGCGAGTTTCAGTCAGTTAGTCAAGAACTGGCCAAAATTCGCACATTGTATTGCCAGCTTGAGGAGGCACATGGCACAGAAATACTGTATCATGCACCCTTTTGTGATTTTCTCACAGCAGGTTTTATAAGTTCTTCAGGACAGCAGAGAAGACCCAATAGGGAAAAACCAAGCCCTTCTTTAGGAAAATTGAGAAATATGGTTATGTAACATTTTTAAATAATGGCTTGATACCTACAAAATGATTCTATCTCAAAGGAACAGCAAGACTATACAGTGTGTTAAAGAATTTGTACTGAGAATCCAGCATACCTGACATCTAATTTATTACTCAAGATTAACCTGAATATCAAACATATCACTATTTCCTCTCACTATTAATGCAGGATCAGCTTTGCGGACGAGACCCAACAGTGACAGATGATCTCATGACTATCCTTAATGAGCTGACACAACTGAGCAAGACTGAACACTCAAAAGTTGCACTCAGGGCTCGGCAGGTAAGAACCAGCAGGATAGACCTTGCACAATTTTTATTAACCCTTGCAATGGGGCTACCTTCACACTGCAAGGGTTAACTGCTTGTTTTTTAGGTTTAAACCACAGAGCCACCATGTTCTTAGTCGAGTCCTTGAGTCCTCTCTCCCCTTCCGCTGCAGCCATCTGTAAATCACATTCTATACACTGTGCATAGACGTAAGAACACTGAGGAACATTTCAGTGATGCAGCATATGAGGAGACAGGCTGGAAGGAGTACTGGGACAGCTGTCCGGCTCAGAGGTTCGGACGAGTATAACTTTATTTTTTAAACTAGACAAAAATGAGCACTTAACCCTTGCAGTGCAGGGTTAATAAAAATAAAAATTGCTGTATTCTGATAACCGTTTGAGGTTAACATGTACTAGTAGAATGTATGTATGTGTGCAACTACCATGTCACCATGTTTTCCCTGAAAATAAGACCTACCCCAAAAATAAGACCTAGTACTATTTTTGGGAATAGCTCAAATATAAGACCTACCCCGAAAATAAGACCTAGTTGTGACCATTTCCAGGGCCGGTGGTGGCATAAGGGGGAACTTGAAGAGTTGCGGGAGAGAATCAGCGGTGCCAACTAAGCCAGCGCTAGAGGCGCATAAGCCGATGCTTCCTCTATAGCGCCGGCTCCTGTTACAGGCGGAGTGATACCAAATGTACTCCGCCTGTGAGGAATCGATAGTGAAAGTGCGCTTCGCTCATTCTGGTTACCAATTTGCTCGTCCTGATTGCCCTGACCACCCTATTCTTAACTTTGCCATTTTGGATTATTTAATTTGGATTTGCATTAACTTTGGATTGTTGTACATTAAAAAAAAATAAGAACTACCCCAAAAATAAGACCTAGTGAGCCAAAAAAATATGACTGTCTTATTTTCGGGGAAACACGGTATGTTATTCAATGTGTAATAGTGACATTGGTTACAGCACTATATGAATATTATGTAACTGGTCCAAGCACTCCTGGCTGTTCTATAGTTTGTCTCAACCTTCTCTTGCTTTTACCATTTTCGCAGGACAGTTTGACTGGCATGTACATGTGCAGAAAAATTTGAATAAAGGCATGGGAGTTAAAAAAAAAAAAAAAGCATCTAATATATACTAAACCTTTTTTTTAAAGATGCGTTTTATTTGTATTATTAAATTTTGTACAAAACAGTCATACAAAAAAAGTAAGAAAACCAGATCAACATAACCCAGTAACAATCAACAACATACAGCCATAAGACTAAAATTCACAAGTAGGGTACAGTCTCAGTACATAAGATGATGGGTTAAGCATCAATTGCTGTCAGTACATATAATAAAATCAGCAAGGATTATACAACTTCCAAGACACTAAGCCAAATTACAAGTTACACTCATGAGGGATCAATAGTCGTAGTAGTAGAGGATATCCGTGAGCCCCAGATGCGATCAAAGTGCTTTGTGTTGCCTCATTGTTCATAGGTAAGCTTATAAAGTGGTAAGGCTTGATCAACCAAACGCTTCCAGCAACTCAGAGAGGGAGCCCCAGGTCCGCCCCACACTAGAAGAATGGCCTTTCTGGCATAAAACAAAAGCAGCCGAATAAGAGCCTGAGCACCTGAATCCAACATTAGCTCACCAAAGAGACCCAAGTGGCAAAAAGAGGGGTTACATATGTTGGGAAAACGCAGGCCAGTCTCCATAAAATAAGTAACTTCAGACCAAAAGGCACGTATGCGTGGGCAGGACCAAAAGGAGTGAAAAATCAGCTCTTTGACCACAGTGCTTAAAGCAATGTGGAGTGGGCCACCTAAGGTACATAAAAAATATATACTATCCTTACCTGTATTACCACATACAGGTATCAGAATTGAATAATGATCCTTTAGGCAGCCTACAACTGTGTACCTGAGAACACGTTGCCCTCCTAAAGTGCTTTTCTTTAACAAAGAACAATTTTAATTTCTGCTCCAGACTAAGTTACATTTTTGTGTATTATTTAAATCTGTATTATTTATTTATCCCCTCTATTTCAAATATTAGGTCCTGATTGCGTCTCATTTGCCATCATATGAGCTCAGACACAATCAAGTGGAGTCCATTTTTCTCTCAGCTATAGACCTGTATGGGCATCAATTTTGCCCAGAAAACCTAAAGGTCAGTCATTTTACTTGTGAAGTGATCAGTCAAATACTAGTGCAGCAATGTACTATACTACTACACCAGTGTGGCCTTTCTGCTATGGAATGAAGTAATGACGTTTAATATTTTCTTTCCAGAAACTCATTCTATCTGAGACTTCAATCTTTGATGTGCTACCAAATTTTTTCTATCACAGTAACGAAGTGGTTCGAATGGCTGCACTAGAGGTAAGGACACAAACTTCCCTTGATCATCTGTGAGGCTTGTTGTTTTTGACTGTCAATTTACGTCTCCAGATAAGTTAATTAAGAAAAAATACTAATGATAGGTTAAAACTGAATCCTGTTATTTTGTTATTTAATGTTTATTGACACAATTCCTAAATACCCTGTGCCTATTCAAAGCAGAGGAACTAGAACAGTTAAGTTAAACTGTGGATTGTGAACTGAGAAATTCTGTTAAATTTGCCCATAGAACTTATTATAAACTTTAATGCATAAACCAAGTATTAAACCAGGAAGTTATGTACTTTGGTATAGTGGCCCCTGAATTGGATTGTCATTTCTAAATATGGTTAATAAATGGAGGAATACTTTAACATGAGGCGAAACTATGCAGAGTACAGTATTCACATATTCTGAACAAGCATTTAAAGCACTGTAAAATAAGTCCTCATTCACCTTTGTAGGTTTAGGCATTGTGGAGAAATTTTGCTTCAAAGTTCACAACAAGGGTTCTGAAATCCCAGCTTCTTTCTTCTTTACTTTCTATGGAGAGCAGAATCTTGGGAGTCTGCCAACCCTCTAACATAAATTCACAGCAATTACTTGACGACAGCTAGAGACTTATGAGTCTCTGTTCTGCTCTGCTCTTTGAGTATACATTACCTCACAGTACATGCAGCTAGAGAGGTCAGTGGTGGTCTTTTTACAAGATTTTAACTGCTTAAGGATATGTAAAAGCTGTGACCATAGTATGGGCACAGGTTCCCTTTAAAAGGATAGTTATAGTGACACAGTTGTGAAGCGCTGTTGAGTAATTTTGTCCTGTGCTTTCAGGTATATGTGAGGAGGGGTTATATAGCCTATGAACTGAACAGTCTTCAGCATCATCAGCTCCAGGATGGCACCTGTGTAGTGGAATTTCAGTTCATGCTTCCTTCTTCTCATCCAAACAGGTATAGTAGTAACCAATGAACTTCAAGCTGGTATTCTAATTTACAACTCAAGAAGATGGCCTTGACATTCATTTTTGAATATTCCAGTGATCATGGATGGGGTTATAATAGACGTGTACTGGCAGAAAGTCTAATTTAGTCTTTGTACACACCATAAACTTAGCAAGGAATCCTGTAAACTTATATTTTTTGTGTCCTCGGTATTTTATCATACCATACATTTGTTCCATATATATAGGCCTTTAACCCCTATCAAGTTAGGCTATATTTTCTCAGCAATTAGGAACTATTAATAAGATTGGTATATTTCACATCAGATATTTTCATTTTTTTAAATAATTTTCATTTTTTTAATGTGGAAAATATAAACTTAACAAGAAGAGCTGTAAGGAAACATGTAGTCTAAAGTGAACCTACACTAGACAGGCAAGAAGAAACTGAAGCTTTATCTACCTTATGGTGAAATAGAGTGTCAACCAAGCAATCCCATGTATTGCCGTTTTTGTGGTTGCATTTACCAGAGGCCACTGTGACATTTTTTCAAATGTATCAGTGCCGCAACAGCAACAAATGTTTTAAACCCTGATGTGTCCTAAAGGAACAACAACAAAACAAAGAGAAAAAAACACTGACCGAAATACACAGATGAAGGATTTCATTGTTATTTTCTGAAGCAACAATGTTTCAAAAGATTCTTGCCCACTGGATATGTTGGGTAAGAGTGTGAGAGCCACACTTTGTGCAGTGCTGGCTTATTGCTACATTTTGCCCAGTTGAGCTCCCAAGGATCATCACTCTTTAGCCGTAATAATTTTTTCTCCATACTTGTCCAGATTTGCAAATATTCATTCAAAGCATTAAGGTTCTTTACACCTCGAGCAACAACTTGGCACATAGTTATATGCCCTAAATTGAAAATATGTAGTCGTATAGAATGGCATCTCAAACACACGAGTTCACTGGCTTCTTAAACTGTGGTGTAATACATATTTAGATGATTATGAAATGTCGCATTCTGATTGGACTTCTTTGTAACACTTACTGTCCTGTTATTTGCCCATTTTGATTACAGAGAGTCCAGCCCAACAATGAGCAGGTACGAGTGCAGAATTCTCTCTACAGCATGGAAAATATTTCAATTCCAAGTACAACCTTTTCCAATAACGCTATCATTTGTGCTTTCAGCTCTTGCTTTGAAGCTCTCATTAGCCATTGACAGGGGGCTTTAATAGTGCATTTCTTATTGACTTGTCCTTGTACTTCTTTTGCGTGAAAGTAATGTGACTCTTAACAGCTTTCTCTACTTGCTAATAAAATTAATTCCTTCTCTGCCAGAAAGAACTGCTGTTCATTGGAAACTCTTCAAATCACCTGGTTAAAGAGATGAAGCAATGTTGGCAAAGGCGCCTTAACCATTTTTCTAAGATATCTGTAATTTTTTGTTTCAGTGTCTAAATATCTGGCATTGGATAGTCAATCTTTGCCATGTAGCACAAACTTGAGCTTCTTTTCTGTAGTGTTGTAGTGTTGCTGTAGTGTGACCAGATCAGTACAAAGGACCTCACCATGATTTAAAACCGGGGCAAGGAGAAGTGGAGGTGGATATCCATAGCGACCCAGCAATTTTCTAGCCATTACTCTTAATGCTGGTTGAGAAACGACAGCAGGAATTTGACTCCTTGGTACTATGGGATAGCAGCAACAGGCACATTCCTTTTTAATGTTTGTTTGATACATGAGGCACAACATTTATTAGAGGGAAAAAATCAATCCAGTAATTTCTAATTATTGTACACTGTTGCTGGTTTATTAAAGGATAAATTCACCTTTTGCAAAAATTAAAGAAATACATAATTATAATATATTAAAAACATCCATTTCTTTAGTATTTGCATTCAAGTCTGGAAAGCATTGCAATTGTGATCACTCGATCAAAGCTACAAAGCTCAGGCTTCTGCACATTCTCTCATATATATGATTAATTATGCATTTCTTTAATTTTTGCAAAAGGTGAACTTATCCTTTAACCTTCTTGGCGGTAATCCCGAGTGTGGCTCGGGGTTAATTTTTAGTGCCAAAAGTGCTAACCCCGAGTCACACTCGGGATTACACTGTAGTGTCACTTACCTTGCCCCTCCGAGCCCCGCTGTGTCCTTCGGCCGATGCCAGCATCCGCCTTCCGGGTTCCTTCCCTGCGAGCGCCAGCATCGCAGGGGGGCGGAACCGGTGGGAAATTCAAAAGTGAAAAAGTGAAAAATAGAAAAAAAAGACAAAAATACTGACATAATCAGACCGCCAGGGAGGTTAAGGAAAAAGAGGCCTGTGGATGGATAATGGCTGGAATTGTATCAGACTCGTATGCATCCAGCTATTTTCCATCCATGGTAGGGTACGATGTTACAGCTTTAATTTTAGTGGCTTGTATGGGTAGCATGTATAGGCTTTTTCTCCCACATATTGCAGTGCTGCCACTTTTCAGCCAAATTTGATTTAAAATGTTTGAGTATATTCAAAGAAATGAATAATTGTAAGAGCAACTTGTATTTCTACACATGATCATTAATAGTATGGTGTTCTCTTAAGATGAGTAAGAGCATTATCTATTTTCAGTAACAGGTACATTGTACTGGGTAGAATGGTGGCCTTGAACATCAAATGAACATGGATATGATGAGAGCATACATATCTTTCTTTGTCTTTTGCAAAATGTTGAAATCAGCAAGCATTTCATCTAATTTTTTTTTCTTCAATTAAATATTTTGTAATTAAACTGTATTCCATGAATGTACTTTAAACAAATTCTAAATCCTACTAAGATGTTAGCTAATTTCACAAAAGTTCAAAAAGTCAATTTGTATAGTACATAAAGTGTGTATGACGTAACTTGAATTTAAGGATTTTTTCTGAAGGAGTAAGTTTTTCATATTTCAATCCTTCTTTGTTGTGTAGCTATTGGCCCCTTTTTGTCACAGGAAGGGTCCAAGGTTACAACAATGCCTGCATCCAATTAGATTGTTCAGATATTTTGACAGCCAGCGGGGTCGACTAGCAAGATATTGAAGCTTGGCACAGCGGGAGATTCCTCCATCCACACAGTTTAGCGTAGATGGAGGAATCGGTTGCACTTTTTCCATCTGCAGATATTTTATAGGTGTATGGCCAGCCTTAGCTGTAGCACAGGCCTGCTCTGTTGCGAGGAACACAAGTATGAGTATGGCTTAGAGGGCTCTTACTCTAACCGCAACATTGAAGCAGCAATGTATTGCTAATGATGGAATTTAATATCTTCAGTTTATCTTCAGATAAAATCCATTTTTGGATATACTGATACATTGTTGCTGCTAACTGCTGTCTAGCACAGGTATTTGTGTAGGTTCAAAAATAAGTTTATATATATATATAGATTAACTGGTATATTTTGCCTTGTTTAGCATTCTCCACGTAACAGGTGTCATATCTGCACTCAAATATCCTGCATCATGGCATAGACATGGTTATGTTATATGTAGACAGCATGGTGCCAAAATCTTTGCATACATGTCATCTGTTAAATTACATATCTATTTACTAACTATACTGGGGATACAGTATAACATCAGAATAATATCGCTCTACTATTTTGTATGCTTTTTAAAAAATCAGGCTTTAGAGCTGTAGGTCTACTGTGCACACTCCATTTCTTTTATTTCTATATTGTATTGCTATTTACAATGCTCTGTTGTTTCATGAAATAACCCCATAGAGCCAGTGGCAGAAGAATTGATGTTTATGGATGATATTGCACTGTAAATCCTTTTTATATTTGCATTTTTTCTGAATGTTCTAAAAAATAGAATCCTTGTCTTTAATGTTCTTATCTGTTCACATACAGGATGTCTCTGCCAATCAGTGCCACACATCTCGAGTTAAATCGCCAGAGCAGTGAACTCTTTATGGACAGTGGCTTCTCTCCTTTGTGCCAACGGATGGGAGTAATGGTGGCTTTTGATAAGTTTGAGGATTTCACAAGGTGATTCTGTGATATGTGAAGGCTATTTACATCTGTAAGAAAAAACATGTGTGCTTGTATTAAAATAAAATGGCCTTTTTAACTTACTTCTGGTTAGCCAATATAATACAAAATAAAACTAGCCATGGATTGCAGTAATATGATATGCTCTAACTAATTTAAAGTGAATGTCAAGTCAAAACTTTTTTCTTTTTAGTTTCAGATAGAGGATGGACCGTTTAACACCCCTGTCAATGTATTTTTTCTCATTGGGGAGATTTCACTTGCTCTTTTGGAGACATAACAGGAAGTGAATAGAAAACTCTCTCCAAAGTGAGGGAAATGTCCTCTTGACAGTCGTCACCAAAACAGGTTGCCTTATTGGAATCTTTACCCCATAGCCCTGTTTTGTCAACAGCTGTGAATTGTTGGGTTTCCTATTACTTTCTCTTTTCTTGACGATAGTTACCTAGACAAATAAATAAGGCAAAGCTACTCGGTGGGGATTCAGGCACCAATTAAAACCTGACAGAGGTTCTAACTAGGAATGCACCTGAAATTTCGGCCGGGCGAAAATGGCACATTTGGAAAAATGCTGAAAGTGCCATCTTTTGGCCGAAATTGCGGTGCATCCCTGGTTTCTCTCCTCCCGCTGGCGCTGCTCTTTGTCGCATCTGACACAGCGCATCGTCCAGCGGGGAGAAGAGAAACTGTCATAGGAAGCCAGGCGGTGCGGGGGAGGAGAGCGCTGTGACAAATCAGGACGCAGTGTAGGGGTGGAGACAGCTGTCACAGGAGGCCATGCCAGCGGTGTGGGGGAGGAGTCGGGTGTCAAAATAGACCGAGCTCTCCTCCCCGCACCTCCCGCTTTGCATCCTGTGACCGCGAGTTATAAATAATAATAAAGAAATAATTGAGGACAGAGTATGTTAACTGTGTCCCAATTATGAATGAACAGGAAGTGCTCTACATCTGTTTAGACCCCTGATATATCCCTAGAGCCCCCAACAGTAAAGTTAAAAATATTTATTAAAAAAAAAAATATATACATTTTTATAGAAAGGTGTGTGTGTGTGTGTGTGTGTATGTATATATGTGTGTATGTGTATATATATATATATATAT